ATATGCCATAATCCCCTAAATCCTACCTCTTTCGCCATTTTTCTGGCAGGCGTCCACTCTTTTTCGTTGTAACATGACGTTTGCCGTTATGCCAGCAGCGCTGCAGTCTAATGGTCATTGAAGTCGGATAGAGGAGTGTGCGCTTCCTTTACGATACGGAGAAAACACCTGTCAAAATTTCAATTGTCTGAATAGATAACGGTTTCGTTTTGTGGTGTGAATTTCAACGTTGTTTACAGACTATACATGACAAAAGCGTGCATCTTTATGCATAGTTAGCATCTTTATGTATAGTTAGCAAATATATGAGACAGAATGGTTTTCATTGATACGTCTAACGCAGAAGTTCCCGCTATTGGTGTCCATTTTTTTGCTTGTTGTTCTGATGAAACTCACAGATGTCCTCCAACAACCCCTCAACCTTCTCGAACATGGTAGCAGAAGCCTGAAACGAATGCACTGCTTCAACAGAACTGGAAACGGCCTAGGATAAGAGATAACAGTAATAAATGGTGGGCCACTCTTGTGAATGCATCGACCGAAAATTATATTTGGTTGAACAAATGAGATCGTTTCAAGTGAAATTGGCCCGAAAAAAGTTCTATTGTGCTGTCTCCGACACTCTACACCAGCTACTCAGAAACACAGTCACTACCATCCGACTAAGGACCTAGCTCACGCATTCAGAGAAAAGCGGTCATAAAGGGCCTCCGGAGTTCTACTCTAGGACAAGACCCGTGCTCATGTTGTGAAGATCACGCTGTCCAAGTTGCAATAGCTTGGCTGAAATACCGTCTCCTGTTTTCTCTACTCTTCTGATCTCGCTCAATCTGACTGCCACTTGTCATTGTTTAAAAATAAGTTTGAGTGAAATTTCAAAAGAATAAGGAATGTATCTGAGTCTCTCATTGCTTCTACTCCAATCTAATAGTATACAAAGATGGGGGAAAGTTGGGAGTGAGTGGTTGGTCGTACTAGGCATCTTTCAGAGGTGTTCGTGTTTTGCCCGCAAATCAACATCCCTTGGAACAGCGCTCACCTTTGCCTTGTATTCAACATCAGTGCTGCTGCTCACTGCTTGTAGCGTAGGTCCAAACATTGGTAGCATCAGAAAGGCACCGAGTGGGAAGAAAAGTCGATATGACGTTTTCAGCTGAAACCACCTTTTATAAATTACAAAAAAATACAAATTATAAATCCATGACAAATTGACACTTGATAAGCTGAAATATGTAGGAAAGATCGCACCATATCCAAAGTGTATGGCATACTGTGACCAGCCATTTCTTCTTCAAGATACGTGTACAGTTTCTCAAGGAGAGATTCCCAATTGTCCCTACGGTCTTTGGCGCTCATGCAGCCACTGAAGACTCGCACGACGTCCACACTCGGACATCCGAGATGCGCATTCTGAATGTGATTCATTTTAAGTATGTTTCAGAACGTAAGTAGATGAAATTTTTATCTACCGAGAGATCTGGGAGAAAAAGCGATTACTGAAGGTCACAACATTACATTCATAATAAAAAGGAAATGCCATGATTTACTGAATAGATATAAGTTTCTAGAATGCATGCCTCTGTTTCCACTCAATTCCTCCTCCACTGGAAGTCAGGCACTCACATAACGCTTCATTGGCCTAACCACAGTTTTTTTAGTCGTGCTCCTCCTTGTGAAACGGTGGGCGCAATATTGGCGCACATGCAGGGACCAGGAGTAGCAGGTCATTTTTCGCCTTAATCATGTTGAATAGTAAGTCGTGCGAAAGGCACCTGGAAAACCATCAACAAGCTTTCATTCGACGCGCGCTTTTGCCATTTTTCCACATGAGATTCGTTGCCCACAGATCCCCATGGCATAGCACTGGCTCCATTCCTAAAGTAATTTCGTATGAACAAACATTTTCCACTCATCCCTTTCTTTATTACTGGAAGGAAATATGCACTGAAAGTTGCTGCTATCTCAATGTGAACATACAGTAAAGTTTCAAATTCAAGAATAGTCGCGAGCCAAGAATACTTGGAAATGCCAAAGACTCCAACCAGTCTCGTTGCCATCTGCCATATGTCAGAGCAAAGCGCCTAGATCATCTCCAGGATCACGACCTCTCAGCCTTCTTGACCTTTTCGATCTTTTGTAGTGCCTTAATAATGGGACGGTGCTGCGGCTGCACAAATTTTAATGACCGCCGCCATTTCCCTATTTCAAAAGCACAAGGTGGTCGTGTGCCCTTGGTAAGCACTACAATCTACTGATGTCTGAAATATTACTTTCCTTGCACTGTATGCATGTTATGGCTCATGTTACTAAAGCCCTACCACAAACTGTCCGTATAGGCTGCTCATTGTCTAAGCGCGCAGTACGCGATAAATAGAGGTGGATGGTGAGGTTGGATGTGAAGAGGAGGTACCAAAGGACCCCGCAGTGGAGAAAAGAAGAAAGGGAGTGTGAACGTTCTGGATAAAGGCACTTTAGCAATCAATTCGCACTTTAGCAATGAATTGAAGAGATCGTCCAAGCCAATAAGAAAAAACGTTGAAAGCCGATGCAAGGGAACACATGCTGCAATGACGATAAGAAGGACAGCAAGGCGCGAACGCCGTTTGTGACAACAATCTCAAGGCGAAGCCGCAATTGCTTCAAAGGAGTCATGGGAGAAAGCTTCCTGCCTATTTTATCACTTGTTTAGCACAAATCCGTGCCACGATACTGGCCCATCCAATGCGCTGGCGGACCGCTCCCTCGTTTTTGTAGAGGCCATACTCCCAGGCAGCTAATCGCGGAATGTGACCTCAAACCCAATTTTGACAGAATGACAAATTTTGTTGAGGAATACTACCCTTCACACTCGCGTAGGTAACGGTAAAAACTGCATAGTCGCTTGGTTTTCGTCTGATGCTGTGCTCAGAGATATTGTAACGGGCGAGTTTTCCCCAGCGTTCCTGAAAGGCTGTCTGGTGGAGCGGCATATCACCATTACCATTTGTGCTGCGTTTTATTGCACCTCAGCCGTTCGGAAAACACAATGACAACCGTTCCAATTACCTAGTGATTTTGGCATTTCCTCTACAAGTTTCACGTCAGCAATTTCGGGAAGAGCAGCTTCCATTGGTCGACTTTGTCCTTGAGATGTTCTCCAGCAAACTGGCGCAACATCGCGACAAAACCATCCGCTGCCTTAACATATTATGTTTAATAAAAATGACACGTAAGTTCACAGCTTGAAACGTCCGCCTGTAGGGGAAGTGATTTAAATTTGGAAAAGACTTTAGCGTTCACCTGTTTATTGAGCATTGTCGCGAAGAGTGCGATGTATGGGTGTGACTGGAAATGCGCTTTCTCCTCATCGGTGAACTTCACGGCTGTTGCTTGAAGCTTTGCGAGAGCTCTCATGACCTAGAAAAACCGTGAAATTTCAACCGCATCTTTTCATTTGCCAGGTTCCATTAACCCTATGAACGTTTTGCGGAGTTATGATGGAGTGAAATCCTTCCAGGACCATTTAGGAGATGGTGTAGCGGCAAGTGGTGTCGATTTCACAAATGCGGTTCGGAAATCAAATCTCGGGTCGAATCTCGTTCGGGCCGAACATGTCTCTCATTCTGCGGGTCAGTTAATTGGTCTAGGCTTGCCTGGGAGGACTAATAGTACCGGTAATGCCACATTTTGAAGGAGGACAGCCGATCAGCCGTTCAGAAGGAAGCAGTACTCCTTTGCTCGCAAAAGGTATTGAAATCTGGCTTGATGGCACTTCAATGGAGTGTACCACAAGAATATAAAAATAATTCAAACCAAATTGCCAAACCTGAGTCATGTGTTCCGGCTTGACATTGTCGAAGAGGTGATAAAGTGTGCCATCTCCGATATATTCCATGATCAAGTATCCATTGAGAGGATCATCCTCGGTGAATTCTTGCGTAAAATAGACCTGAAATGTAGGTTATGCGCATTCAGTAATTGAATGGGTAGGGTTATGAGCTCAAAAATGAACGTATGTG